TGTCGACCCAAAAGTAGATTAAAGCTGGTCGGATAATAATTAACCTGGAATGGGAACTTCCATCACAGCTGGCCCGACTGTCAATTTTAGCACATAGGCAACCCCCAAACACTTCCCTTCGGGTACTATCAAGAGCTTTCACATATCTGGTCAGCATGGAAATGAAATCTGTCTCTCTAACCCCAAACAGCTGGCTACCCTTAGTAGGGGCAGACGTTCAAATGCTGACGCCATGGTCATGAGAAACATTGGTACAGTTTTGGTCCTCTAGTCTGAATGGTGACATACAAGAGCATTTGTTTGTGATGCTTCCCTCCTTTAGGTCCAGTCATCATCAGAGAAACCGAATGCTTTGCATTTTAAGATGATTGAGTGAGGGTGGAACACTAGCAACTTCGAGGGCCTAACCTCTACCGATGTCCTGAAGTTGGCTCAAAGCCTTGCAAAAGAGCTTGGCGATGAAGGAAAAGATATCCTAAAAGTTCCAGATTGGCCACCATTAGCATTCGTGTCTTTTTAATTGATGGAATAGAGACCGGATCCCTCCCCCTTTCCCCTCCTCTGTTTCTTTTGTAGGGATTATTGGAAATTTGTCCAAGACTAAAGGATTCAAATAACTGTCTACCTTCTGGTTAATAGCATCGACCATCCTCAGAAGGTCATTCAGATTAGGACACAGATTTTCATTCATTACCAAGAATAGCTCGAAAGGTCGATCAATTCTTGGTCAGAAAAACAATAGCAAATTTAACCGTGATTTGGTAAAGGGTTTTAGTGCTAATGTTTGGTTTGCTTCGTGATAAATCGAACCATTAATCCACTAGGTTTGGATGCGATTTTGAGAGGGTCCCAAATGCTTCAGTCTTGTCCCATATCCTGATGATACTCACAATATTCCATACGACTTTGTAAATTCTTGGTCGTGGGTTTGGGTATGGATTGGTCTTTGCTCAAAGGTTAGTGATATAGAGTTTGCTTATAAACAAGCCTCTTCGGAATACCAAAGGATTAGCAATTCGCGAGATCAAGTGTAGGTTCTCTTGACTGACTGCCCAGCCTCTCATATTTCCCCAAACACCGTAGAGGAATTTATGTGGGAGTAAATGCATTGCCACTGTCGTGGACTTGCTAAACTTGGACTAGAGTTTTTTGTTTATTTTGAGGCCCCCGATATTCTTCTTTTTAGTTGCCCCATTTGACAGTAAATTCCTCCACCTTGTAGCAGTGGTAAATGAGCGACTGGAATGATTGGTAAGATATTGAGTCTGTAACTGTTGTTGATAGACAGGCCAACAATTTTTTTTAAAAGATATGTCCACTGTTCTTGTTTCGAAGGTCAGATTTTGATCATTTTTAGGCGGCCTTGGCCCTACCACCTCGTAAGGAAACGAGGAAAGGGTTCATTGTTCTTTTGTTTGAGTAGTTTCCTAGTTCTTCTTCGAGTAACATCAACTTCTATATTATAGTGATACTGAGAATTAAAAGCCCTTGCAAACTCCCAACCAGGTTTCATCTTAGCGGCGGTCCAAACTGACAAACCATCTATCAAGCAAGCAACCAGTCAGGGATTGTTTGGAAGCAACTGAAGCAGGGAGCTCGCTGCTTAATCCAAATGGGTTAGGGCGCACACGATAACAATTTTTCAAGTGTGTTTTTAGGACAGGTGGTTCCATCAAAACTTGTCCATCGTTTGGCTTTTGAACTTAGTAGGCAATCTTGCTTCGGGGAACAAGGACAAAGAGTCCATGTCCACCCCATTCCTTGTGGGTTCTTTAGAGCAGTAACAGACTCCTTTCTAAGCCAATTCCAGTCTTCTCTTCATTCCTTTGAGCTCCCAGCTCAGAAGCAGTTTTGGATGGTCATTTTACCATCCAAGTTAGGGTTTGAGGATCGTAGGGCGCAGAGCCAGGTCCTTGGTTGGAGGCAGCAGGACCACTCCCCCATGCGGAGGCCCCATTTCCATTACCACCACTTAGTTCAGCTAATAGGTGTCGGCTTCTTGGGGCGGCCAATGCTCTATTCATCTAGCCCTATATTCTGGCTTCCCTTTTGTTCCATGAGAGTTTGGATGGTCAGCTAGTGATCCATCGTGTAGTTTGAGGTTGGTGATAGCACTGTCAAGGTTGTGTCTGGTATTATTGTGGTCCCTTTGCACAGGGGGTCCTGTATAAGTGTAAGGTAATCGCATTAGGGTATAGTGGGCGCTATTTGTGGGTCAGAGTACTGATATGAGGATAGACCGAACTATTGTCCCAACTGTGCATGACTGACAAACAGAAGGAATATTTTTGTGTTCCCCTTCTCCTTTTTTTTTTTTATTATCGCTTATGGTAATGTCGTGGATGCGCCACACACACGTCAATAATTTATTTTTAATGAGGATGACTCATACCATTGGGTGCATATAGTTCTAAGGATAAGTTCCTATAGGCTATGACACAAATAGAGCAAATCGCTTATTCAAGGACCTTGAACCTTGAGCAATGATATAACCGTAACCAACATGTGAACAAAGAGTTTGCGTGGGTCCAACGGTAAACAGCATACCAGTGCCAACCCCCAAAAGGATTAGGGATTGTTTTTTGCGGTATGACAGGGGAGGACGCTTTGGCTGATTCCAGTCGCCATAATCAAAGAGACTGCCGATCAGCGAATACTGCTATCTCAGACTCAGAAGTTGGGAACAGAAAGAGAAGAAATTCAATTTGAAGTTATTTTTTTATTGCCCCAATGTAAAAAGGAATTTCTCAATCGTGCAAATAAATCAACAAGTTTAATGTCTTAATCACAATTTTTTCAATTAAGTTTCCGGATTTATCAAAGTATTCCCTTAAGGAAAGATATACACTTGATTCGTTATTAGGGTACCTTTTTTCTGTGCAAAACAAAGGCTAATAAAATGATGCTTAAATGAAAAAGGCCCGGTTAGATTTTCACACACTTGTAGTCCAACTTTATGCAAAATTAATTACATAAATTCCTCAGTGAAGTCGCCAAAACTGTGGAAACTGGCCTCCACCAAACATCACTGGACATAATGAATTGACATTGTGACTAAGACAGAAATGCAACGTAAGAATGTATGAGTCCGCCACTTGTTAATTATTTTCGGAGTAAACTAGGAAAAAACCCCCAAATGACTCCAATTTTATAATTAAGCCTAGTTAACCTAGATTAAATTATCCCAAATGTTCAAGAGCACAAGTCTGCGAAACACCGAGATGGATCCCGAGACTATGATCAAGGCTGATGAAACTAACGATGATGAATGCTTGCAAGGTGAATGATGTAATTGACAAATGAAATGTTTTTTTAATGTGTTTTTTGATCTTTTGTGCCGCCCCCCTCGGTGGTGAAATCTCGGAAGCGGTGGCCTAGGAGCGTACTATTTTCTCGCTGTGAATGGCAAGACTCACAAGCTTCACCAAACGTAGTATCGATAGGAAACCTTACTTTGAAAGAGGCTTTTGAATGGAGGTAATGTTATGAGACTGGAGTGTGTAATGACAAATATTATTGACATAGAGCTGTGCATAAACTGCCTTTCGTCGCACTCCGAGACTGTTGTATGACACTTTGAATGACATGAGTGTATGTATAGACTTTGATGAATTATATTGTTTATAAGAAGCATTGTTGCCTAAAGATTTGTATTTGATTTTTAAGAGGACACATATATAATTGACACCTAAGAATATCATATTTATGAGAGAGCTTTTAAGCCAAAAGAGTTGATTTGGGCTATTCTTTGCCAAAATATGGTGTTATAACAGAGATGCTTTCCACTTACTCTCGGCCCGACAAATCCGACTTATTGTCCGCGAGCGATTTGTCCGCCAAAAAAATAAGTAAATGAATATTATAAGACTCTAGAAGAAAAGCGAATTGATTTGATTTTAAGGCTTTTCGAGCCGAAAAGTGTTGATTTAAGCATTCGTTTGCTAAATGTTAATTTTAGGCGATTGCGCCAAATGGGGGTCTGATTTTTGAGGCATTAATTAGACACAAAATGATGTGATTTAAGAAACAAAAATTTGAAATTTTTGCACCAAAAAAACGTATGTGATCCCCTGGCCCCCCCTCGCGATTTGTCGCACAAAAGTCAATTGATTTTAGGAGGCATTGTGGTGTCAAAATGTTCATATTAAGCCGATTTTAGTCGCTCAGGACCACCAAGTGCGTCTCGCATTTCTAACGCGCTATTTGGCCAAAAGGTTCAATTTTAAGCGATTTGTTCGCTCCAAAAGTGTTGATTTTTAAGGCATTTGTGCCCCAAATGATTCCTATTTTAATGCGATTTTGTTGCCTAAAATTGTGGATTGTATTAAAACTGTAAGGCAATTTGGTTGTAAAACGCGATTGATTAAGGCTTTCTCACACACACACAATTAACTTGGCCACTCCCCTTTATGCCAGATTTGTTTCGAAATTAAGTGTCGATTGAACCGTAGTTATTAATTAACTAGGCTCTTTAGGCCTTAATCTAATTGCTCGCGAATCTCATAAGCTTAACCTACCACGATTATTCACATAATCGGGTTGTCCTACAGCTTACATCCCATGTTTGTCCTCTTCCTAATCACCAAGCAGTTTATTCCTACCCCAAAAACTAAATGACGTGGATGCTTTATGCAATTGTAAGAATTAATTAAGAGTAGCTTAGAGATATTGCATGAAAATTGTAAAATTAAAATAGGTTTCAGAGTTTTTGTTTTACATTAACCTTGATTTAAATTCGTCTGACCGCTTCTTTTAACACCACAGGTTAAAGACTCCTCGTATAAGGAAAATAATTAAATTAAATATTTTAAATATTGTTTAATTATATATGTCACCAAATATTCATCGATAAATGTAATATATAATAGAAGTGGTAAAATGCAGAAAAACGGTAGACCACCCCGAAGGACCCAAACGCAGCCGTCGAAGAGAGAGAGGGTTTCGTCCTATCAATACAACAAGGCGCACCAGAAAATCACCCGCGAATAAATGGCCTATTTATGGTCCCATTTCGGCCCCTCGCCTCGGCGGGAGCTGCCACGCCCTGTCGGTGCGCGGCAGGGCCCCGCCCACGCTGGGCGGGGGGTCCCGCCTTGGAGCGCGGCAGCTGCCCCAGCCAGCTCGGTGGGACGGCAGCCCCCCGCTTCGGTTCTGGTGCGGCAAGGTGTCGCCCAAGCCTAGGCGGAGGTGCCGCCCAGGGGGGTGGGGGGCCAAGGCCCGCGGGCACGCTGGCGGCACGCCTCGCCTCTGCTTTTGCGCTCCGCGCGCCCAGGACCTGCCGCGCGGGCGGCAGCGCCTCGCCCGGCGCTGCTGGCAGGTTACCTGCCCTGCCCGCGGCCGGCGACAGGCCCGCCGCCCTGCCCCCCGCCGCCCCGCCCTGGGCCCGCCAGGCTCCGCCCGCAGCACGGTCCCGCGCGCGAGCAGGGGGGGGCGCCCGCGGGAGCGGCGTGGGTTTCGGGACCAGGCACCTGCCGCAGGGAAAAAAGCAGGTGGACGGTTTCAGACACACTCAGGCCGCCGCTGGGTCGTTGTTCAGCTCTGCCCAGGCATGTTGGGCGCGTGCAAGGTGTGGCCTTGCCCAGTGCTGGGTCGCTGCTGCCTTTTGCCTATTGTTCCCTTTTGCGGCAGGTGCCTTGCCGTGGCCTGGGCGTGCCCGTGCGCCGCCGTGGCCGGTGTGGACACCTTTGTGCTCGCTCTGGGGTGCCTTTGGGAGCTTTCCGGCACCTCCCTCCTGAAAACTACTTCGGGCGAGCTGTTCCGAGTCAGTATAAGCCTCGGGGAGACATTACAGGAAACAAGTGTGTGTAGGGAAAAGTACCAATATTGACAATATTTTCGGTGAACTGCACGAAATAAGACATTCCGGTTCCGGTTCTCGGACTGTTTCTGCAGTCCGGGCAAAAACAGGCCTCTTCTGAGCCTCCCTAAAATTTCGGCGTTATTCACACATAGAAATATTTCTAATCAGATACAATGTCCGGCCGGACTGTTTGCAGTCCGGGAAAACAGGCTTTCTGAGCCTTAAAATTTGGGTATTCACACATAGAATATTTTAATAGATAAATTAAAATATATTTCCACAAGTTGGCGAAATTCAACAAAAGTTGGTAAAACATCAGATTTTTATTTTAAAAAATAGATCCATGAATATTTGTTTTAATGATCATAGAACAAAACATAGTAATGATAACACTCAACTGATGGTACTGGTGAGGGTCCCCACACATAAGAACAAATTAATTGAAGCGGCTGTGTAGCTTGAAAAGTAGAATTTGGAAAAGGAAATTATGCATCTCACTAGAAAAACAAGCATCACAAGGATTAATAGAAGAATTCTTTTTATTATAAGCTAATTTATTGAAACGAATAACATTTTGAACAAAATGTGAATTAGCATGTGAGGACGATTTATTTTTCAAAGACTTAAAAACTAAGGACTTTGCGCCCCCAACTAAGCACCGATGTAAAAGATATCCAAAGGACGGAGTCTTTAATCCGAACGGGCCAATTGGTCGGTTCATCACGAAAACTGGGAGGAACTCCTTATAGTTCCTTTTTGTTGTGATTATGGCTCGGTTTAATGCTTATGTGATCTCGGGTTGGCTCTTAGAGCGCTTTGATGGTGTGTGATATGTTAGACTCACCACCTTAATTTGTTTTTATTTTCGGGGAAAAGATTAAGGAAAAAACCCCATGATGAACTCCATTTTTAATTTGCCTTTTAGGATAAAATGCACTAGCCTCGAATCATTGGATTCAGGGACTAGGTTTTTAGCTTCTTTCCGTATGAATTAATGGTTTGGGTTTAATCGAGCAATCAAATTACTTGTTTGCGTGGATGACAGTTATAAAATGCATGAGCATACTAAAAATGCATGGCAATCATAGACAAACATTAAAAGTGTATTTCGGAGGGGAGATTGACTTTAGCCTCATTTATCGAGGATTCTAGGTCGTGCAACATATTCACTTAAATTCCAACCGGTCAGTTCGGTTGGGGCCCCACTGCTTCGGCTGAAATCTGTAGGTATGCCTTCGTACCTCATTTGTATGAGGATCAGGGTGCACAAACTTCTACCATCAATTAGGATGGTAGGGTTTTGAGGGTGCACGAGTGGGCTATAGGGTGCCGAACGGATCGAGCTTAGGGTTGAAAACTAGTTTTTTTCGATTTTATCGGACGAATCGGGCCTTGTGTGCTTGATGGACCGAGCTTGACAGTTTATAAGGTGCTAGATGGAACGAGCTTAATTAATAAATATTGAGTTTGAGTGTTTATACCCTAGGGGGAGGGGTTTAAAGGTCGGGTGGTGCGAGCGTGCGGCTGTATAGCATCACGGTTGTAAACGACCAAGGAGGTCGAATCTTGCTCCAAGATAGTAAAGGATGGTACGAGGACCCTAATATAGTAATATTGTTAATTAATGGATTATTAATTAATCCTTAGATTAATTAATAATGAACTAATTAACTAGTAGCTTTGATCTTAGGAAGATCAAAGTGTGATGGAAAATCGAAATGATCGATTTTTGAGGACCAAGTTGGGCTTTGGCTCAACTAACGAAGAAGAGCAAAGTTAGACTATATAGCCTTAGAATTGTTCACAAGGGAGAGATAGAGTTGTTGATGCTTGAGAAGTGCTCTATCAAGCAACAAGAGGTGCTTGAAATGAGGGTGGAGTGCCATATTTATAGGCTGCTAAAGCCCCTAGTCAGTATCGACCATGTCAGTGTTGGTACTGGTGTTAGCTATCGTCGATACCATTTGGGGGTTGATCGGTGCCAGCGGCAAGGAGGTGGCATCGATTAGGGCAAATTACTGCCCTGCCCTTTTGGCTTGATTTTTGGGGTTTTTAGGCTTTCGGGAGTCCACTCGAGGCCCACACGACATTTGATCAAGCTGATTGTCACAGTGTTTAATTCGTAGCGGAATTTCCTAGAGCTTGATGATAAAATCATGTTCAATAGTTTGCCCCCTTTGAGAGATCGCGGTTGATCAAGGTCCAAGCTCATGGACCCCAATTTCAACACTTTTGATTAAGATTTTGGTCTGAAAACCAAACCTTGCAAGTCGTGGTGATGTCTGGAATATCCTGTGAAAATCTTGTCTGATTCTGAGAATATTTTTCCGAAGCTGGTTTGATTCGATTGATGTTTGAGATCCTTTCTGTAAATATCTGTCACATCAAAATGTACAGTTGTGTTTGGAAATCTATCAGGGTTACTTTGGCTAAAACCGTGCGAAGTTTTGAGTCCAGATGTATCCCAAAAATTTTGATCTTCCGGGCAGGGGCGAGGTCTTCCCCCCCCCCCCCCTTCTTCCGGGAACAGGGGCGAGGTCTTCCCCCCCCCCCCCTATTTTCTAATAAATAGTGGGATGGTGGAGACTCAGTTGCTCACCCCCCCCCCCCCCTATTTTCTATAAATAGTGGGGTGGTGGAGACTCAGTTGCTCACATCACTCTCCCCTCTCTTTAGCTTGCTTCCTTGCTTTCAAGAGTTGCTCTTTGCCAAAACTCAACTGAAATGGACCCATAATCACTAATGACTTTCTATTCTCCACTAAGTGAGAGAAACAGTGTCTCTAGACCAAGGTGCCAAAGACCAATCCATGAAGGATGGGGAAGAAATGAAGAGTTTGGGGGAGTTTGGGGAATTTTTGGGGTAAAAGCTTCATTTGGAAGGAGAGAAATGAGCTTTTGTAGCGTGTATGGGTGTTATGGGCTTCTACAGTAAGAAATAAAAGGACAAAGTTGACAATTGGCTACGTGGCACACCCCACTGTGTGTGGCGCAAGCCACAACATTGAGGTGGATGCCACTAAAGAGCAGACAATTGGAAAATTCACTGTTTTATTGTATTTCAACTATTCAGACTGAACAAGTAGTGCAAATATCAATTATAAATAAAAAATACACTATCACCACTTAGAAACATGTAAAGAAATTGGCATTTGCCTTTATATAAATAAAAATATACATTTCTTTACAAAGACTATTCACCAGACTATGTCCCAAATACAAAAAAAAAGGAGAAAACAGAAAAAGTGGGCTGGGGCAACTGTCTCAAGAAATGTATGAAGCCGTCTCCTCTGAGTCACCAGTGCCGGACTCCTCAGTTTCTTCAATGATAATCGACTGGCGTCCAGCCCATGACCAGTGCGCCTGCCATATGAAGTCCCCAACCACGGCCCACTGGAGGTGCCATGCTAACTCTCTGTATACATTCATAGACGTTAATAATTGCATTTCATGCATACATGGCATATGCATTGCATATTTTCCTTTGTATTATTATTTTTATCCTTACAGATACGTCAGAGAGCCTCACCACCTCTAACTTGAGGCGTGCTGCTATATACAACTGACATATGTCATTGTAATCAGCAACAGACACTTGCAGTATAAGACGGGGGTAGCCAATAAGAGAGGGAATAAAATAATTCAAAACCAGTCATTAGAGGAAGAGAAGAAAATACTTACATGGGTGCAGCCTGGTGAAGACATCCGATATGGGCTCACAAGATGGGTCTGTAGCATGCCTTGTGCTGCCTGCCCTGTGCGCTCCAAAATAAAAGAGAAAGAAGCACCTAGGCCATGCTCCAGCCTGCCAACGACGACAGCCATATCCGGAGCCTCGGAATCAGAGCCCCTCCTTATGAGCTTGCCATGCTACTGCAATTGCAAAATAAAGCACAATTAGTGGATAAAAGACAGAGACACTGGGGCAAAGCCAAGAATAGAATAAAAGGGGATAAAACTCACTCGTTTGGGGCATGGTCCTAATCCCTATCAGGCTCCTCCACCTCAGCAAAAGGGTCAAACTCAGACGGAGGAGGGATATGGACCAAGAGCTGGGTCTGCACAAAGATGGCATAAGCGCCAGGTACAAAAGCAGCCAGATAGTTAGTGGCAGCCAATCCTCTCCTGCAGCCGCAATATCCTATTCCAGCCTGATAGACCAAGTAAACAGCATGTAATGTGGCACATCGTGAGGCACTCTTCTCCTATCCAGTCCAAGCTCCCACTCATACACCATCTCTCTAAGGTAGTACATATCATAAAATAGACCAGGAAGGAGAAGTCGTCTTTGTTGGTACCCAACGGTTGCCTGGATAAAGTCAGGATATGCAGTCACCTCCCCCCTATAGATATCTCTCTATCTACAAAGTTACAAAAAAAGAGAGAAAAGAGGGGGAAAAAAGAAAAAAAGGAAGAAAAAAAAAAGAAAGAAGAAAAAAAAAAGAGAAGGAAAAGAGAAAGAAAAAGCAAGAGGAGGAAAAGAGAAAGAAAAAACAAAAGAAGAAAGAACAAAATAAAAGGCAGTGAGAGGTAACATGACCTGATCCCAAGACAAGTTGTACTGATACCTCCGAGGTAGTATGAGCATACTTCTGACCAAATCTCCAAGCTCGACCCCGAGGAAGAGTCCTCACATTAATATCGCATAGGTGTTGCCGCTAGATTTCCCGCGCTTCGCACTTTTTTACAAAATAAACCATTGTAAGTATACTAATAAAAGTGCAAAGGCACATATTTCTATATTTTGATGTAGGAAAACTACAAAAAATGATAAGAAGGCACAGTTCCACAACTACTGTGGCACAAGCCATTAGGTAGTGGGGCAAGGCACTACATAAGTGGCATGCTCCACTAGCTCCACTACTGTTGTGGAGCATACCACAGCACAGTAGAGCAACCAAACACATAGAGAAGTGGCGCATGCCACAGACACTATGCCGTGCGCCACAGCGTAAGAATGCCTAAAAATGCCCAAAACGGTAAAATAATACCTAGTTTTCGATTCCTAA